AAATGCTGCTGTGTATTGTTGAAGAATAGATGACAATCTTGCCAAGACAAAATCCGTGGCTCATACTAAATAATTCTAGTGCACTGTCGTATTGTAGGTATATTGTAGGCACTTGTTAAACACGTTGTATCTTTTGACCTACAGAGAAGCCGCAACAGTGTTTCCTCTGACTTTTTCCGGAAAACTTTTTAGTGCCATTTATATGGTATTATAGTGTTAACTTTGATTTACGGATGCGTAACTGGTGTTTCTATAACTTATCTATTGTTTTTATGCCTAATACTGATAAGACGAAGCCGTGATGGTTTTTGTTAGCCAAAGAATGTCTTCTAAAAAACTATATTTGAAATTGTCCCTGTTCGGAAAGGAGGTCATTTGAGCCCAGTCAGTCAAAGAATTTGATTCCACATCCATTGACAATCACATCTCTAATATCCAGTGTCATTCGCTTACATGTCCCAGATTGTCCGAAATAGATTTGTTTTCAGTGGGGGTTTTCTTGAAACTATTATTAACGCGCTTTTTCCAGTTTTAGTAACTGCTATTAATGATTGTCAGTGTGGTCATCCACTTTTGTATTCATTGTTTGTAAGTTACAATACGTTCAAAACTCTGCCGCGAGAATCATTTGCAATGTGAAGAAGCATGACCCCATTTCTTCCGTCTTGCACCCTTGCCTTCCTTACGTCTTGAACGTTATTTATCTTGGCTTTGTATTTGTCGATTATTATCTTTCAGTACTGCTTTACTTTTATTCGCCGGTTTCAGTTGTAGACAGAGTTTGTTTAGAGTCGCATGTAAGGGCTGTGACTAAAACTGGGCTGGCGAGGTCATCAGTTTACTAAATATAAGCTCACCTGTGACACACGCCCTGCATACTACTAGCGTGAGTTTTTTCTATGCTTTCTGCGTGGCGCATGGTTCGTACAATCTTGAAAAGGTCTTGAATTTTACTAGTGGTCGTGAAAAGTCCTTGAAATCAGTTGAGGTCCTTGAAAAGTACTTGATTTCTTTATTAGGTCTTGGGACGTCCTTGAAATTCACTACCTTGTCTACGCCAACCACGCATTTATGTAGGATAAGATTATTTTGCCAAAGAAAATTTGGCTCATTCTCTGTGTAAGAACCTCTAAAACTCACGAGTAAAGTGTGCATGAACAATATTTCATTTCTGTTTCTTTATTCCAAATGATATTTTGTACCTCAGATGCAATTGTAAGTCATACCCAGTCATTTTGCAAAGTGTTGTTGTGGAAAATAGTATAAAATAATGTGATCAACGGAGGAGCGTTGCGTGACGAGTGACGACCCTAATAACGGCTGCGAAGGAGACTACGATGGCCGAAGAAGTAAAAATCGTAAATGACTCAATGACGTGTTTTAGCCAACAGGGTGATCAAAAGGGGGTTAAAGAATGCCGATTTATTACATGAATCTTAGTCCTTGAAAACTATAATTTGTCCTTGAAAAATCCGCGAAAAGTCCTTGAAATTTGTTTGTCTGTTGCACGAACCTTGGTGGTGATAATCGTGTTTTTCAAAAGGTGGATAGCGGTCTGCACTTAATAAATCACTCTCTAATAGATAAGAGTTACATAAAAGGATCGCGCTATCCGTTGGATGGCATTTACCTAATCCGAGGGATAGCGTTATCCACCTATTAAACAACCAGGGCTTACTCGTTTCATGATCAGTTTGTAAAGAGGCCCTCCTTCTCCAAGTTAGTGTTAGAAATTTGCTTTATTAGCCTGAGAAAACAGCCGACATTTCGCGATGCCATCACTGGTTGCCCGCGAAATGACGTCTGAGAAACGAGCGCAGAAATTCCATACTGACGACTCGTCGCTACCCGCCGCCACCCGGTTAGCTCAATAGGATAAGCGCCGGTCGGCTGAGCGGGAGGTCGCGAGTTCAAACCCCGGCCGGACCAACACTCAGGTTCTTTATATAACTGAGGAGAAAGTGCTGCCTGAAAGTAATCTGCAAACGGTTAGACTTTCTACAATCATGGACAAAAGTCTTGGGACACTTTTGTGTTTCTGGGGCGTTTTCCAATTCACACAGGTCCAACCCCTTCCGTCACCCCACAAACAATGTTGGACGCGTGTATGCAGAATTTTTTTCCGAGTTTCAACTTTGTATAGGGTGGGGGGAGGGAGAAGTGTAAGAAAATTTCGAAAATGATGCACTGTTTTAAAAGGGAACGGAGAAATGACAGAGAAATTTGCATATTGTTGTGAAGTATTTTGAAGGTTATTTTAAGTTTATTTCGTGTTTGTGTTGACGTTTCACTTGTGACTAGAGTCTTGTTATGACCAGTTTATAGATCAAGGTTAATGCGTATGTGTGTTAACAGGTTTTTGAGTGTTATTATCTTTTTATTGTTTTTTCGACCGAAGTGTCATCAAGCTTGGTGTTTAATTAAGTTTGATTGTCAGTTTTTAAGTGGGTACGTTTTGGGAACATTACTGACCTTGATTGTTACCCACGTCAGAGTTCCTGTATTGGTTTAAGGTAGAATCTCGTGAGTTTAGCTGTCACGCTTTCATTGGTTTTCCTATGGGTTTCTTTATTGCACTTTGGTTATCAACAGGAAATTCGTTTAAGTCACTCGGAAAAGCGTTTGTATTTCTCATGGTCAGCAAGCCTAAACGTACCTACGTTTTACTTATATAAGTTGCCAGTGTTTAGCACAAGTAGGAGAGAGTAGTTGAGATTAGTTACAGTTAGTTGTCTAGCAGAATTCGTTAAGTGATGCTGTAAACAAGACATATGAGCTGCTGTAAAGATTAAAGAACAACAAGATGTAAACTCAGATACCTGGTACCTCTACGCTCAGCGAGCGAGTTGCTCGTAAACCTCCAACAATATTGCAGTAGTGTCCTAAGGACTTTTGTCCAGGATTGTAGTCTTCTCGGAAAAGGACGATAAACCGTAGGCCCTGTCTCACAAGCCCTTGCGCATGTAATAAATCTGTGGGACGTTAAAGAACCTACACACTCTTCGTAAAGAGAAGGGCACGTAGTGCCCGGTGTAGTGGCCTATCTCACTTTCACACCCATGTATGGGGGCATCATTACTCATTCCTTCATTACTTGTAAACTGCACCTAAGCAGTATGGCAAAGTCCCCCAACCAGTGTTGTAAATTATCCCTGAAAAGCCCTGAGGGGAGTGGATAATAAGATATTTACAATTACAATTTACAAATTTCCCACTCGGCACGACTAACCAGAAGCACTACACAGATCTGGGAAGGGATGCGTCATCAGCTTGGAATTTCTGCGCTCGTTTCTCGTACGTCATTTCGCTGGGAAACCAGGGAAGCGTCGCGAAAGGTTAGCCGTTTTCTCAGGCCATTGCTTTATTTTCTTCTCTCTCGTATCCTTTTCTTTCGAGGCCAGGATATTTAAAGCTTAGTCTATAATTATTGTTATCGTCTAGCCCTGAGGTCACTCTTGCTGTTCTCATGCCGACATACATCCTAAGGGAGCGAATCATAACAAACGACCAGGGGTTCCTTGGGGAAAAGCACTCTCCTCAGAATCGTGTCTGTTCCTAATAGTGTTGTTTTCTGTAGCACTTCACTCCTAACCTTAACCTTCAGTTTTTTGATCCACTTTCCAAGTTTCTTAGTAACACTTTCAAAGGCCCCCACAACAGCAGGTGCCACGTCCACGTTGTTTACATCACTAGGGAGCTTAAGCAAAGACAACCACGACGACAGTGAAAACATCGCTCGTATGCGAGCTCTTGAATTAGATTAGTCTCAGGCAGGTGTTTCTCATAGGATTTCGTGCAGAAGTAGTTTTTGATTGACACATCTCAATAATGGATATTTAGAAAAATGCGTTTTGACTCAGTACAAGACAGATCTCTCTCAGAACAGATCGTATGTCATGTGCTTCGGAAGTTTTCTGTCGGCTTACTAGGGATTCTCACTCTTATTAAAGGATTTAATTCACGGATGTTGGTCTTGGAATTTTAACGACTTTATCCAGGTTCAAAAGAAAAGGAAAATTCGTCGTCGTACGTTTCCGTCCTCCAAAAAAACATGACAAAATGTCGCATTGGGAGGTTTCACTTTGTAGTTGTGCGGTGGACGTTAAAGAAATGCACGTGCACACCAGAGCTTAATAATCCCTTCCCGACTCCTTTGTGCTGTTCTCAATAAAATAAATATGCGCTGTAAAGTGGAGAATAATACTGTTGGTCTGATTGATTGCTTCTTACGAGAATCAAGAACAAGATAACAGTAACAATGATAAAAGTTTGGCATACTTATTATTATTATTATCATTATTATTATTATTATTATTATTATTATTATTATTAGTCGATTCAATGTCAAAATAGGCCATTTTTAGTGAGACTGCATCTAGGTATTGTACCGTACCCATACGACTATGCGGAAAGCGAGATTCCTGAATGAGGCAATCTGATCCCCTCCCCCATTCCCCTCTTGATAGGGCGTGGCCATTACTCCTTCCCTAAATCGAACCTTTGGCACAATCTCATGTAATCACAAGTTGTTGGTGTCTTTTCTTTTCCGCCTACGTTTTTCCTCGAACTTCTAACGCGCTGAGAATAGATTCAATGTTGCTATTTCATTTGTAAGTTATGATACCCTTTTCACTTGAAGTTAACAAAACAGAAAGTCCGTTCAGTTTCTCCTGAGCATTAATGAATGAACTTCTCCTGAGCTCTCCTGAGCAGTACAGTGTGACGTGGGTATTGGAGAAGTGTCTTCTGTTGTCTTCACCCTGGTGTGTCTTTGTAGCTCGCCATCCTTCAACTCTTCTAACCTGTTACGCTAATCGGAAGAAAAGAAAAAAAACATTACGGTAGCACAGTTGAACCTCTTTACGACGTCCACCTTGGGGACAGAAGAAAGTGGCCATTGTAGAGAGATTTAAAGAACCGTCAATGTATGGACTGTCCGCAAAATTGGCTTTTGTAGAGAGGTGGCCGTTAGTAGAGGTTTTTCTTTTTTTTTTCAAGATGAAACAATAACAAAAGTTTCCATTGGTGAAGAAGATGCTAAACTCTGGCTTTTGCCGTTGTCGTTTAGATTACAAGAATTTGCAGATTGTTTGGTGAGAGCACATTCTAGATTATTGGATTTATTAGATATATATCGTTGATTTTATAGAGCCTTTCCACATGACGTCACGTCCCATATTGGTGTCCCATGTTGTCCCATATTGGTGTCTCAAAACACTGAAACGGCGGTCATGTCGGTTTCACAAAGAAATTCTGTGGAAGTTGAACCATTGAGCTCTATTGTTACTTGGTCCGCTATGCAGGAAGGAGAAACCTTTCGTTAAGTGCAGATTTCAATTCGCCGTTACTTTATATATTCAATTAGCATTCGGGACTGCAGGCCTATTACACCTTCATCTCCCGCGAAAATTAAAGACATCATTTTTCCATGAAAAAATGGAATAAACGGACTTAGGTCGGGTTTCATTTTTACTTAGTTTTCTGTTTATCCATGGTACAAGTAATCCTTAATATACATTAGTGTTGCAGAATTGCTGCACAAAGAGAAACCTTTTCAGTCAAAATCCTCGTTGAAAATTTTAATTTGCGTTTACTTTACAATCATCTGGGGCTGCCTATTGCTACAGCTTTGCCTCTCGCGTAACTTTAAGACAACATTTTTCTCGTCAGACGATGGAGTATCCTCAGATTTAGAGATTTCTTTATTTTAGCTTATAGCTTTATTGTGGTACTAGCGATTCTTAATAAACCCTAGTGTTGCAGTATTACTTTTTTCGTGTAAAGTTATACATGGTGCAATCGATCGTAAAGGACAAGACATTTCCCAGGACCCCCTATTGTGTTTGAAATCGTCCACTGAACACATTTCTTTACCGTGTCATATGAAAGCCTAAGATTCAATAATTGTTTTCGCATAAAAGGGGACATACTGGCAAGGTTTGATTGAACTTGCCCTAAGAAGCTACAAGGTTATCCTTATTTTATTTATTACAACCGTTTCTGGTATTTCCTACTTTTGTTAATATTAGCTAGAGCAACCCTGGGGTGGCGGTATTGTATTTCTGGCACTCATCCTTCCCTCTGCCCCCCAGACACCCTGCTATGCTTCATTGACAAACTGTATGACACAATTAAATTTAGTACGACTGGTATTGAAAAGATCTTTAGAAGTTTCCGGCGCGGAGCCTATTTTTAATTATGAATGTCCTCAAGTTTCCAGAATCTTAATCTTAAGGTGCAAATTAACAGATGATATCAATTCGTGGATCTCTTACGTAATTTGTTTTACCAACAAACTCACTTTTTTCGCCTTTAATGTTAAGTCGAGGTGTAGATTTGTATGTTTGTTCTACATTACATGGCAAACCGAGACGCCATTCAGCGAACTAGCAAAGGGAATGTTTGTTTTGTGCCTTCTCGCCCCAAGGCAACGCTCTATAGACCAAACATCGTATGGGAGATGGGCACATGTAGTAACACTCTTATTTTGTCTTTAAAGAAAGTTGCAAGATCCTCAGATACAAGGATTATTCCATTAGTGTGCGTCAATTACTATCGCGGCAAACCTCAAATTATAATAAGAAAACAAACACATTTGCGATGTGCCATAAGGCCCTATTCTCTCTGCATTTCTTATGATATCGTAATTATCGGAAAAAGGACCTTTTTTTTCTCTCTCTCTATCTCTCTCGTTTATTCCTTTATTACATCTTAAAAGCGACAGGTAGTGTCTCAGTTTTCCATCTATAATTGAACCCCAACAGAAGCAGGTTTGTTCCCTCTAAGATACCGCAAGAATTGGCGCCGTTTCTTGTGGTCTGTCTCTCGGTGTGTCAGGTCAGATTTAAATAATTTTTAGACAAAGATGAATTCAAACACTGCAATTTTAAAGACGGTTGCCTGCGGAGAAAGTTTTAAAATAGCTCAGCTCGACGAATTGAAAACATTGACAAATTCAACCATGTAGCTGTTCCCAAGGTTATTCGAGTCGCCTTTCTTTCAAGCGGTACACTAATTAGTTTTTTCATGGCACCCCACAAAGTATTTCTAAAGGTATATACTGCAACGAAAATTACAAAACTTTGCCGCCGGCGAAGCGAGTCATCATCACAGCACATACCTGTTTACAAATGCATAAGTGGTATCAATGTCCGTTACGGGAAAGCCCTTCCCTGCGGGTGTTAAAAAGTTGACGAGGCAATATAACTTCCCTTTAGGATGAAATATAAAAATATCTTAGCGCTAAAGTTCATCAGACATTATTTCGGCACTCTGGTTTACTCGGGTGTTTCAGAATGATGATTATGCGAATTTGAGCATTGCAGCATGTGAAACTCTGGATTTCTTTACTGTCAGATACGTTTACCTCTGTAGAATTTTTCATCCTTATCTGTCGTTTTCACTAGAGATTAAACATATCTTTAAGATATTAGCAACGGCAAATTACTTCATGCTGAAAGAAATTTTAACGTGGTTTCTTCAATTCTGCTCTTCCCTCGTGTCCCCAAATTTATGTAATTGTTCATCCGAGTTTTAAAATATGTTATTTCGCTAGAGCTTGCAGAATTCCTAGTAATGTCGGACAGCGCAACTGTTACTATTTTTTGTCTTCAGTATTATTACGCGAAGCTTTCCTAAGGAAGATGATGTATTAGTCACCGTTTTTAGTAAATGAAAGTCTAAGATCCCTCATTATGACATACGCTGGTGCATGTAAATAGATTTTAAGGTTTAAAGCCTGTACTCCTTACTTCTTGGCTTCGTTTACCTACTCACTGAAGCGTTAGTACTCACCGAGACGCATGTTGACCCGGACAAACACCTATTACGTTAAATGCTGTAATAAAGAAATGACATTCAAGCGCCAATTCACTCATTTTGAAAACTACCCAAAATATTTTGCTCGGAGTAACTTTGTTTATATTTCTCTATGTAAACACTCTCGTTCCAGTAAAGGGATTCTGCGTCCGGTTCGGATGAATTGTACTTTTTGCTAATTCAAAATTACTGGGTTTTTGTTTTAAAGGCCGATTAATCTAAGCCATTTTGATTGTCTGTCTACCTCTTCAGTTTACATCGCTGGTGTAGATTATGCTCCGTGTCATAATATTTACATTGAGAAGATGTCCGCCGAAGCGCGATGTTGACCTGTATGCAGTTGATCAATCACCATAATACACGCAAATTCCAAATAAACAGTGTTTTGACACGTCTGTCTTGTTGACCGTGCTATTTTGCTAAGTGTTATCAAAACAAGATGTTCAAATTGGAATATTAATTCTGACTGCCTTTACAAATGTCGTAGTTACGCTACCGCAACGTAAATGCGATTTAATGACGAAGTCTACCATATGGTGGAAATATTAACCGTTTATTCTGCATGAGAATTGTCTGATGTGTTTCGTTCTAGTAGTTTTTGGAGAATAGTCTCGGTTTCGGAAGGCGGCATTTTCCCCACAATAATTGCCCCATTACGACATTACATGCAGCCGTTTTGGCGATGAAATTTTCGACGCTTGCGGATCAACTCAAGATGCCACTAAAGCTTCGGTAATACAGACAACAAAAGCGTGCACTTTGTTTTCAACATCGCTGTAAAACGAGTTGAAAGACTAAGTTGCGCGTGTTACTTCCCTCTTCAAACCTGTTAAAATATTTATTTGTTAGAATACAGGTGGTTGGTAAAACTCGCAATATCGCTATTCAACTAGCTCTTGCAAGACAAGTTGTATGCTTTTTGTTGCCCATTCTACCGTACCTTAAGAAAACTTACTGCTGAAAAATACTCCGATTTTGAGGATCATTACTTACTTAATCTACATCTACCTAACACAAATAGCTCATTGCTGCCTGCATTACGGCGCTACGTACCACCGGGGGATGGACTCCGCATATGAAAGGGGTGGGCATGCTCGTCGTCTCGCTTAGGGGTGTAAATTTCGGATTTTGGTCTCACTTAGGGTGTTCTGGGCAAAACGCCATCATATTTAGCCGTGAAGGTCTTGTTTAGGATTGCACGTGAAAAAATGTAAAAAATATTATATTGTCTGTGTTTTAACATGGTCTCTTTTAGGGGTGAAAAAAGATTGGGTCACGCCCAGATCGGTCTCCTTTAGGGGTTTAGTTCAAAATTTCCGACGAGCATCTCCACCCCTTTCATATGCGGAGTCCCCCTCCCTCGCGTACGTACACCTTCACTTACACAGTCAAGTTCCGCTTTACGGACACCCGCTTATTACGGAAACCCCGTTGGTACAAACACTTTGTATGGCCCCCTCAGTGTCCGTATAAACGGCTGTTGACTGTATCTCATTACTCTCTGGGCGTTTTTCTGTCTCCTACATTAACAAAGCAAAACATTCCTGATCAGGATGAGTGGTTTAATACCAAATACAGCTGGCCCCACGCTATTATAGAACATACAATGTACGTGGGAAGGTTAAAATGACCGACTTCTTCAGGATAAAACGGGATAGAAAGTATTATTTACCGAGGAATATATATTGGGGAGGCATATTTATTATTACTAAAATTAACGACAATGCAAGCCTAAAGCAAAAGAGGTAGTTTCTGTAGCTGAACACTGATCACGTACCATATTTGTATGTCTATGCTCTGAGTAACTATATCATCATGTACTTAACCTTTGCTCGATCTGGTTTTGTTTAGTCTTATCACGAACAATCATTTTACAGCCCACAATGTATCATGTAAATTGAAGATTATAAACTGAAGAGTTTAGTTGGCATTGAGCTTTTGGATGAAAATAGTCCAGGCAAAGGCATGACAGCTTTTTTCCAATCAAGTCAAACCAAGCAAACGCTACTGCGGTGTTTTCTGTCCTGCAATTAGTCGAAAGTCAAATATTTTTAGTTGACAATTTATCGCAATTCAGGAGAACAGTGGAGGCTCAGCGCATCCTAGTATTTCTACAGTTACACTGGGGTAAATTGCCTTGTCAAAGTACAAAAGAATTTTCTTAAAATCTTAGACCAAAGATAGAAAGCAATATGCTTCCTTAGGTATTTTTCCATTCAAACACATTGATTTTTGAAGCATATGCTTCTGCAATTTCGCACCCAGTGCGGCATGAAATGTGTTTGGGTTACTTACAACAAATAGTAGCAACTTGAAAGACATGTTTACATCTTGCTATTTTGTGTACATTTGGGAAAAGATTCAAATTAATGTTCCAATGATTTAATAAAACAGTACAACTTGAAGCTTCTTGCCTTCAGAACAAATTTCTTTAAGACATCACACTGGCCTCTATGGCCGTTTTCCTCAGGGGCTTTTATCAAGTACGCCACGTACGTCGTTCAGGATGTATTTTTGCAGCATTTCGGCGAAACCTCACCCAAGTGCTTTCTTCAGAATCTTTCGTGGGCTATAATTCCCTATTTCCACATCCACTAAATTGAAACTTTCATCTGAACTCTTCAAGGAAGACACACTTTCAACCAGGTACAAAAGACAAGTTTATCGTCGTTATTTGTATGTATTAATATATCACTTTAGATGGGCACTGGACAGATCAGGTGTCTTTGGAACGTGAAATACGGTCAAATACAAGCTATTAAGCAGTAATTTCTAATATCTAACGCAATTTGTAATGATTGTGATATAGTGCAATGAACTATTTTCGAAACAATCTGTTCCAAACAAGCTAGATGTACCATATAAAATAACTGTGAAGAAAGACTTGATTTAGAAACATGGGTGGCACAGTAGATAAAGCCTGTCAGTATTAACCAGGGGAAGGGGCTTTGTGAAGGTTGTGATTGCCACAAGAACTGGGGTTTGTAATGCTATCTTTGTGATTTATCTTCATACTCCCGAGCTTATCTCAATGAAATTGTCCGTTATTCACCTTGACTTTGCTGTCAACGTCTTTACTCCCTGCAGTGCGCAAATTGAAGAAAAAAATCTAAAAATTTATTTTAATTCATTTTAGTTTTTAACGGTAAAAAAGAAAGTATACAGGTAGTTTGTTTTCCAAAGGGTTTCTTACAGCTTTCGTTTAGGCAGTATATCCGTAGGATTTTATCCATATCAGTCTTCAATCCGCGAGTTTGAAATAAAAAAAGTACTACCCGGGGGTTTGGTTGTAGAATTGAAAGAGAGTTTTCTCTTGTTTTTAGAACGGAGCACAGCTGCTCTCCTAGCGAAATATACGAGTGAAAGAGTCCTCTTGTACGATCAGAATTACAAGAAATACCGAATTGTTTAGGTGATAACTTTTTTGCTGTAATATGGTTTGCGTAGTTATTAATTAAGCTTTTTTTTGCATAAAAGAATTCATCTATCTCTTTGATGATGTTGAGTACCAACAGGGTAATAACAACACTTTAGAATAATTCTCCTACGGTAAAGAAGATTTTTTTAAGCGTATACGAAACTGTTTTCAAAAAGATCTTTTTTTATCATAAAGCAACCGTTAACATGTCCTCCTTACACTGGAAGAGTAACAAACGACTCCTATAACCTCAACAATCAATATGTTACTTCAAGCCAAAATTTTTGAAGTATTTCATGGTTTTCCCGCGTTAAATTGCTTGCTTTTCCATCCCTCCCTTCAAAGTTGCTATCGATTAAAAATAGCCACGTTCATAAAATGCCATAATTGAAGTTGGGCGAACGTACCACAAGGAGTTGAATTTCTCGCTCTTGTTTCACGTGTAGGAACCGTACCTGCCTGCATCTCGTTTGGATCTAACGCTCTACTCGAAACAAGGCGTACTTTAACACTACGCTTTGTTTTTAAGGCAATTCTAGAATTTGAGGTGATACTTTCCACCTACAGAGCTGCTAGTGTATTTGATGCGGTTCTACTCTAAATATTCAGGTCTTTGAAGTGACCCAAGGGTGTTACCGCAGAAACAACGTCTCAGAATGATTTGTGCTTTGGCCTTGTAAAATTCATCCGTTTAAAACCTTCTCTGGTGCCTTTTAAGTCCCGAAAGGCTTTCTTTAAACTTGTTCGCTTTGAATAGCACTAAGAGGAAAATTACCGAGAAAATGAAATTATTGCCTAGCCTCTTGTAGGAAATGACGATATTTAAAAGCCGTGCGTATGCAACTTCACTCTTATGTTCACTCGACAGTCTTGTTGCCCCAATAACACAAAAATGTTGTTTTATTATAGTTGTCTTGTTTTCTTGTGGCACGTTCCACTTTCAAACATGTTCCAATGAAAGCACGCACCTTTTGTAAGCAAAAGTGAATCTATCGTTTGGTGAACAGCCAACAGTTTTGGACAAACCCTTCGCCATTAAGTGTTTATCACGAGAAATACTCGTTGCGCGAAATGTCTTTTTATTTGCAGGAAAATTTCGTAAGGTAAAGTAAATTCACTTAGTCTTTATATAGCGATATTTACTCTTGGAAAATGTTTAAAAATTGGCTATTATATTTTTCGTTCTCATGTTTGAGCAAACGACAATGTCGTATTCTCATCAATTTTGAATTGTTTTAATTTTAATGTTTGTCCGTTATACCGTTTCAAATTGAATAAAATTATTGAATAAGAGCATTGTTAAAGCGACTTTTGTCGATACTCCCCCCAGTTTAACTCGGAAACTCCTGTAAGAGGCGAATTGAGTGTCGCGGCGGAATTGTAACAAAATTCTGAAAAAAAAAATGAAAATTACATTAAAATAATGTAGTGCTTTTTCTTGTTCAGAGTTACTAAACTATTGCCAAAAGCTGGTATGCTATGAAAACGATATGGTTATCATAAAATCATAGTTTTGACTGCTTAACCTCATGATTTCTTTTTGTATCAATAGCTCATGCCACTCTTTGTTGTAGGTTCGACGAAATGTGTTTGGACCTTACAAAATTCAATCTTCGGCAAAAGGGAAGGCCATGATGTCTGTTCATTTAAACAGACGATCCGCACTTTTCCTTTTTCTTCAAAAGCGCCGGCGGACTATTTTGAAATTTCCTATCCTCTTAAATAAAATAAACAGTTGCATGTATCAAAATACTAGGTATTCGTAAGTCTGCTTAAGATGTATTCATCCTGTTAGTTCACACTTTTTGGGGTAGTCCGGAGTGCCTATATGTATTTTGGCAGTCAGTATTTTCGGCGATAAAATGAGCTAAATGTTTCAAGCTAACCTCATTTAAATCTTTTTTTTCCTTTTTCATTTTAAGTAACGTTATGCATATAGGTAGGACATTTTTAAAAAATCATCGAAGCTTGTTTTGGAGCTAATTCACGACACCAAGTTGTGTCTCTTAAAAATCACAACTGTTGACACATATTGTGTAAATCAAGCTGTGTAATGAAAACATTGTAACATTATTGATGGTTTGAAATCATTTTTCACACTTTTCTCGATAAATCCAGTGAAGAAAAAACTCAAAGTACAACTTGTAGAAATATTCTTTGATGTTTCATTGCTGGCAAAATTCGATCAAATGACACAGTGAGAGTATACAGCTCAAGATACCTCGCCATGGACCATCTTCTTGTTTACAGTCAAGTTAAGTTTAAGCCATTAAAGCTCTTAGGGTAAACACTTTTAGATCCTTTACTCACTTAAGCTGTTGAACATGCTTGGTGAACAACGTGGACAAACATGTGCTGATTGTAAAAAAGGAGAAAATGTTACTGAGTCATTTGTCGTGAGGCCGAGAACAGAGTCGACCGTTTCTGTTAATTCTCTTTAGGATCTTAAGCAACGACGATGGCGACGTCAACGAGAACGGCAAAAGCAATAGGTTTAGATTGGCAAAATAAACAACTCTGCACGTGTATCACGCTTTTTTGTACATTTCTTTGCCGTCATTGCACGACTACGACGTGAAAATGCCAATTTTCACGTTTTGTGGAGGACGGTGAAAACGAAACAACTAGTTTCTTTTTTTTTTACTGACCTTCAATAAAGTCTTTAAGAGTTCAACTCCAGAAAAAATTGCCAACATTTGACGAATTGAACAAGATGGAATAAGCGCGATAAAGTTTGAAGTAGCGCGACCTCACTTTCTAATTAACGTTTTCGTAGTCGTCGCCGTAGTTGTTGCTTAAGCTCCTTTTTAACCAACCAGGGAAACTTCTCCCCAAGGCGCTTTGTTCACGGCCGTTGTAGCGTTGAGAATTTGCACCGTGTCGGTAAAATCTAAATCTATGAAATTAAACAACGTAATACCATGCAAAAAAATTATTTTCATAATTTTAACAGCTTTTCGCGGTCATTGTATATGATGATAGACCCCTGCGTTTTCAAAGGAGGTTTTAAGGATTTGTAAAACTCGCTGAATTAAGTGTTTCACATCGGAGACTTGACGATGCCTCGAAACGACAATACTACTTGCAAATTATTTTTTAATTTACGTGTTAAATACTTTTAATTAAATTGAGGTAACCGTTCTCCTCAACAAACTTTGATTATATAGTATGTATTTCAAGCCTAAGATCTCTTTGTCTTTAAATCGTTTTACGTTTCATAGCATACAAAGCTGTCATCTAAAGGAGAAAGGCAATCGATCATTCAGGTGTGGAACGTGCTGTGAAGAAAGCCACAAACAACGAAAAATCAAACCTGGTTTAATCACAACAGTCTCCCATGGAATCATAAGTCATCGCCTTGAAAACTGTGATTCCTTAAGCGCCAAATTTTAGAAAACAACTACTGTTCAAGGCCTGAATTCTTAGAAGTTATTTCCTTGATCGTGATAATTTTTCTGTAAGAAAAACTCGTGGTGTTTAATTCGTGAAGGGCAGAGACATTTATCATGACGAACGTAAAACTGCCCATATAACCCTCTTCTCCTTATTTCATCTCCGCTCTTTGACTTCCTATGACCGCACAAATTCAGTTCTCTATTTCTTCAATATTTTACTGAGGTTTTCGTAGAGCAGTATGCACAGGATTTGAATAACCTTAGGCAAATTGTCTCAGGAATTTTTCGTCCCGAGTGGTACATTGTCCAAGCAGCTAACTTTCTTGTGTAACTTTTACAACTAACATTTTTAAAATTTGACTTTTGTAATTTATAGTTATTGCATGTTTGTTTCAGCTAGATAAAACAGCTAAATGTGACGTAAAGTGATGCCTCCTCTTGCTAACTTAGAAACGATTTAAAATAACCTCGGTACCCCGCGAACAAAATTTACAAACATGTGCCATAATCAGACCGATTACGTTGGTGGCGTTTCGCACATCCCAGTCCTTAGTGTGAATAATGGAGGTGAATATGAGTAAGTTTTGCAGCTCAGAGTTTCTCTATGTTTGTTCTTGTACCACAGTGTAAATTGCTTTACTTTTGCATTAGAAACTGGGCAAACTATCGTGATTTAGGGTGCCCCTCAACTCTCTATATTTTTGTGTCATTATTTATTTCGAAAACATGGCTCAACGAAAAATGACCGATCAAAAAATCGAGTCTCTGCTCTTGGTTTCTAAGAACCATAAATTAACTGCTCACGACTTAAATGTCTTGAAAACCAATTGCCACAATTTCAAAGGTGTCTTTGGACGTTCCAAATTAGTAGTGTCCTCGTTTACACTGATTTCATTCCACTGCGGATATTCCTCTGCGGGTAGGCCCAAACAGAGCACTGGCCACGATTTACAATGACATTGATTTCGCTGATCTTGTAAACCTAGGAAAGGCTTATCTCATCTTAAATTCGGTCAGAAGTTAAGTGGAAGACTACACCAATGATTAGAAGAGTCTTACCGATGTCAGTTTATCCTTGATTTTAGATTGCTAACCTGTAAGAGCTACTTGAATTTTTTAAAGTATTTTTAGAAGTACGTATGAAGTTAAGAGCGAATCGCGAGATAGCCTAATGCCAACCTTACAACTTAGCTGGATGGACGATTACTTTCTTAGCTTAAGGTACACTCAAGTGATCCTCCTACCTTATAAATGCACCGACTCGAGACGAACTGTAGAACCCTTTGACGAGAACAATTGACTTCGCAAAGTTTAAGTGCATATCCTGCAATGCATTGTAATGGGAAGACCTCGAGTCGGGCGTTACATTTTATGTGCAAAACATCCCAACTATTCTAACACCAAAACACCTGGACCAGAACAAGCTATTATTCTGTTCAAGTTTACTTCAAAACAGAACACAGCATGACCCAAGCTTGCCATCGGATGACGTTATTGTTTAATGATCGATTGATGTATTACGGGTGCCGCATGTTTTACATTGCTTTACGAGCTACTGCCGGTGTTTTGCTTTTGAGTGGTCTGTAAGCTTATTCTTAAAATCTCAAATGATACTGTCTTGTTTTCTCAACGAAACCTCGACTGGTTTGATGCCGTGGTCTAGTTGTCTCATGAATATTCCGTGGAAATCACCGTCTCCAATATCCCTCTATGAAAACCTTTCTTGACTGACGCTATGCATGGTTGTTCTGTATTTAATGTGGGGCAGTGTTATAACATGTTTTACGTTATCAATCACGCTTTGCGCGGCCTTTCAGTCAGGAAAAATAGCTTCTTTGAAGAAAAAATCGCATTGACCATATTAGGAATCTAGAGTACGAGGCCTACATTTTGCTGCACAGTGCACAGGCAACTTGACCTTTGTACGAATTTGTACCTTTGTAGGGAAGAGTAGAAACATCTATGCAGTGACAAGGCAACACTGCTTCACTTTGCGTGTATGGCTTTTGCTAAAAAGAGGCTAAATGATCGAGGCTTTCATCTTATTTCACATTAGGGGGTTTAAACAACGACGACGTTGACGGCAACAAGAACAGCGAAAAAGCAATACCCTTAGATTGGCGAAACAACAACTTTCCACGTGCATCACGCCTTTTCATTCATTTCTTTGCCGTCCCCGCATGTCTGCAAAGCGAAAGTGCCTAATTTCACGTTTTGTCGAGGACGTGAACACAAGACAACGACTTTCTTTTTCTTTTCCTGAACTTTGATACAGTCTTTTAGAATTCAACTCTAGAAAAATTTGCCAGCATTTCACGGATTGGACGAGATGGAATAAGGCCGATAAATTTTGAAGTAGCGCTAATCCACTTATTCAGTGACGTTTTCGTAGCCGTCGCCGTCGTTGTTGCTTAAGCTCCCTATTGTAGAGGTGAAACTTCACCTTTATTTAGATATTTGTAGAAGTGGAATGCAAGCATAAGATTGTTCTGTACGTTTATTGCTGAATAGTAGCTAGCTTTCGACAGTCGCTCAAGGTTTTAGACTATAGCCTTGGCGTAGACCTTTAAAATTGGTAGAGCTTTACTAGATAGATGTCGTCTATACTATATGAAATGGAATAGCAGACGAACTACTTGTTTTATGTTTTTATTGGAAATGTTCACTTAAATGTAAAAGTGCTTTTAATAACCACGCCTTTTTAACTTAAGCAATCGAGACGTTTCATACTGCATTTGAATTTTCAATTGAATGTTCTTTCCATAATTCCCTATTTCTTCTTTCCTTTTTTTAATTGCTTTTTAGAGAACACCCTTTTATTATCCCAGTGACGTGAAAACTAATGTTCATTTCGAAAAGTCTCCTACGCTTATAATCTTGCTGCTTCCTGTTCTTGACTATCTCTCTACATTGGGGGGCTTTCCTGCGGATGATTTACCATCAAAGGAAACATCAAATGTTTATTACAATTATTATGATTCCTTTTTATCTTGTCATACCGCGAATATTGGGCTCAATAAATTTATTGATGGCCTTCTGGCTTAACAGACAAAAAATATGATATATGCACCAATAGAGGGAAACCCAAAATGCAATTGTCTTGGCCGTGGGCAGAAGCTTGGATTTTTGGAATTTTCTCGATTTATAGAATTCTATCTCCCTAATTAACTATCGTAAAATTTGCGGAAATTGCTGAAGCAAAAAGAGCGTGATCAGCTAAAGTATCCGGCTTAAATATTCATGATGTAAAAAAGGATTTCATTTTGACATTTTTCGCCTAAAAATTCCGCAGATGCGACGTTAAGATTGCCTTTCATCTTCTGATCAAATATTTGCTGTTAATTAAGCGTCTCGTCTTTAAATGTCGATTATATTTAAGTTTGAAGTTTGTTTGCTTACTCGTCCTACCAACTATGTTTTACACGGCTTTATTTTCCCATAAAACAATACAAACAGCTTGATTTTTTCAAAACAAGAATAATATCCTTTGAAGCTGAAGCACTGATTAATATCTTGGCGATAATTCTCCTCGCCTTTATTTATTTCAATTTAAATAGAGAAAATATCACATATCTTTTGCATTTACGCAGTTCATCTTGAAACGTTGTATAAAAGAGCTGTATCTCAGTGAACCGAAATGTAAGTTTCCAAAAAACCCCCGTGGTGAACTAGAAATATTAATTATTTTAACGCATTTGAGTTTTGTACATAGTGATGACCTGCGTGAATCAATTTTAGATAGCTGATGCCTTTTTCTTCCTTTTTACAGTTCACAGGTTTGCGACAAGGCTTATCTGCCATGGCTTTTGATGATTCTGAAATAGGCATAAATGAAACATGATTCGCGACAATTTTTGTGACTCTTTTACGCTTTTGAATAATTATAGGACTCAAAAATAACTCCACCAACTTCATACATCGGCAGGTTGTAAATAGTTTATTCCAATCTGAGTTTCGTTTTAAGCGTTGTACTCATTGCAACCTTATTTTCATGAGTTGTAATAAAATCCAATTAGAGTTTGAAAGATTTCATAGTAATCTCAAATTAGAATAATTTACTGAAGGCGATCAGCTCGCAGCCAAAATAAAATTTTGCCGTCTGATAATAATTGCAAGCGATTGTAGGTTGTATCTTGCATTTGTATCAACGCGATAATAAAAATATCCCGAAAGTGAAGTTCTGTGTGTCGACAAACATTCGATGTAAAGGAGTTAAGAAAGGCGGCGATTCCCTTTCTATTCATGAAATTTATTTCGGAAATTACGGTTTTATCGCTTCTAAGGGAGTAATTCTCGCTAAGCGCTGGTTTCAGAGTAAATACATGACTTTCTATAAAACATGACACCAGGAGAAGTCTGAATGAGTCTTATACTTCGTAAAAACGGTTTTGTTTGTAGTTGTATTGTCTTGAGATGATAAGTAACCTGCTGTAGGTTATCTGTGTAAGCGCCCTTCTAGTTTACATTAATGCTGACTGCGAACCATTCAGTTAACAATATTGATTTCGCTGTTTGGGGAACGCATCTTCGCCGTCTATCTTATAAAGTCCTCTCAATTTCGGCGCCCACAAGCCCACGTAGTACGGCTACCGTAAATCTGATATTTGCATTTATTTTGATCTTATAAAACTGTCTCGGGTAAATATTTGCACCTTTCATCTTCACGCTAGTCATTGCAAACTTGTATGTTAAATATTGACTGTCAAATCTTATTTGCTATTAAGTTACCGGTTGATAATGTATCTCGAAAAGCCGGCTGCTTGAGCAATCATTTCCAATTTTCTTACGCCACTTTACGATATTATGAATCGCAAGGAGAATGTGGACTTTTTTTTTCCTTTCTTTCTTGCTGGTTTAATTGTATTCCGTCGCCTTTATTTACACTCGCTTTCCTGTTTTTCTATTCTCTTTATTTATGGCCTCATTGTCTCTTATGCTTTGCCAGAGTGGTGACCGAATCTTTGCAAGTATGGAGCGAGGAAAAAGAAATATAATTTAAGATTTCACTGCTGCTAACTTTTCAGTATATTTGATTTCCTAGTTAAGATTGAGATGCTTGAAAAGCGGGATTCGAAATTCCACTCCTTGTGGCTCTTAACTTCCAAACAGTCGCATCTTAACGGGTAAGATCTTCATAGAACTTTGCGGGCTGCGCAGTTACGTTCAGTCTTCGGCCTCAACAGAATCCCATTGATTTTACTGCGACACACTGAACGCAATAACAGTCGCTAACTTCTACTTGACAAGAATTTGCTTGGTAAAATTAATATCGCGTGATTACTTAGGTTACAAGTAAACATCAAAGCGGGCAAATCAAGGGATTTGTTTGACCGCGATCAAGCGATGTTTATTGTCTATTTTACGCTTGGATCAGTCGAAAGTTCACTCTACCCTGACTAAACGGTATGTGAACTAAAAGAAAGCGCTCTTGTGTAAATTCAATAAAGAATAGCAAGCATGTCTGAGTGTGAGTACTTTTAATTTTCTGTGGTTAGTCTAAACTTAGAATCTTGGCGACAGAGGCGCACTGGAGTAGTTCTATCAGCATCGTCTTAGTATGTCTTCATCCGTCGGGACATGTTATATTTTCGGCACCGTGTGTGTTTGCAAACAAGCTCACAACAGCGTTTAGTTTCATCTGCAGCCTGATTTTCGATGGGCTACGCATTGGCAATGGTAGAATTCAAATTTTCTTATCGGTTTTGTAATTCTAATTTGTTGACAACAACATCTTGCCGACGTGCTCTTTACCCCAGTTGTGGTTTCAAGCCCAGTTGGATTGATCAGTACATTGGTTCCACTTTAGTAATGAAGGGTGAAAATTACAAGCGCACGTGTAGTCAATCTAGAAGTGACCGAAAGCGAGGCCCGTAGAACTGATGGAAACGAAAACGTCTTGAATTAGTAGAAATGCCTCGAAGCTGACTGCTACAAATGGACTGAAGAAGGGGAGGAAGAAATGGCAAATATTTGGAATTGACAAAGCAAAGCTAAATGGGTAACTGTTGTTGAAAAATCCTTGCGATAACAATGCTGGATATTTTGCCTAATTCTTATCTATGTCAAAATATTTTCAGTATTATCAACTAGAAGCTTTGCAAGGGTGACTTTGTATTGTACACTGGTTGTAAACGGAACGAACACAAAAACACATATCGGTTGCGACGGTTTGTAATGCTCGTCAAACCCGTTTTTATTTTCACTTGGCTGAAGCTTCTTTTCAACCTTGTTTCGTTAAAATAAGGATCGAAGACATTTATTAATAGATTTTTTTTCTCTCATAGATGAGCAAGTTGGTAATAATTGAGATCTGACCGAGAGATCAATTTCACACGGCGCTGTGATGCCCCAGTTGCTTAACTTCTCCTTGCAAAATCGTGGCTGAAGTCCTTCGGTGCTGAAATAGCAGGCTAGGCAATTTTAGTTTTCTCTACTCTGTTAACAGGGATGCATGGTATTATTATTCCTTTGTCGAATCGTTAACATTAAGGAAATGAAATATTTGCTGTCCGATGTGCTTAAAGATGGAAACCGCCAGGCTTCAAAATTGTCAATCTTTGCACGAATTACATTAACAGCTAATAACTTTAAAACACCAACGGTGTCCAGTTCATATGATGGGCACAGATAATCCTCTTTTCGCAGTGTAATATTTCTCACTGGCTAATGAGCCAAAGGCGCCAAAGGATATAGACATTTAAGATGCTTCTAAAGTTAATGAAATATTTATTGTACCATACATTTTTTGATATTATTTTTTTATTTCTAAAACTTAACCTCGTTAAATAGCTTCACTGAAGAAGTCGCGTTTACATATTCGAAGGAAAATAGCCTTCATGCTTTAAATAATGATTGGTTGTGAAGTAGCTCTCGATTGGGATATTCAATTGATCTGGAGAAACATGATCGTACTAATTACCTTTGGTGAGCTTTGGAAGATTGTACTTGAAGAGATATCAATTTAATCTTAGCATTATCATAATCATATCGTTTCAATAACTGAGGTTGTCTTCTTCTTCTCCTTTTTTTTCTTGTGTCACACATGTAGTTGGCCATCATGAGAGGAATTTTTTTTCCTCCAGTTGGAACAGATGTGAAATTACGCCTCTGTTTCGTCATGTTCGTTGACATATTTTGTGTAAGATTCCAGTTATTCGCCAAATACTTAATTTACTACCAAGAAGCTTCATTTGATTTTCGTTCATCCTTCTTCTGTAATAATTCAAGTAGAAATGGAATAAAACATAATGTGTGAAAAGTTAAAGTAAAAAAATCCTTGTAATGATGATGTTATATTCAGGATATTTGTGGAGCAGTAGAAAAAAAAATGTCAAAAGTAATCTAGTTAAAAGAGGATTTGTAAACGCGAGAGTATTTTCATAACATTCAAAACTGTATGGAATATAATCTCATGATATTTTAAGAAATTTGTTTTTGTTGGCAAAAAATAGAAATAGAGTATCCCAATGCCCATCTGTACTGTGTGTTTTTGATAGCTAGTTGTTGACGTTAATACAGAGGGAGAACTGAATTGCGATTTACGATTTCTCCTATAATTTAATCAAAGCTGTAATTATCTTATTTCCTGAGGTGTAGTCGATATATGTGGTTATGACTACCGCAAAACCAGAAGAAAAAGAAATGGGAATGGGGTTGCTAAATTAGGCGTTAGGCCCATAGACTAGAGTGAAAATATCACCATGATAGTTATCTTTGCTTGGAGAATATTCGGCCACACAGGGCTATATCATAGGGTTCCCGAATGACTACGATAACAAGTGTGAAGGAAATGCCTCAGCATCCCCAGGGTTACTTCAATGGCTTTTTTGAGGTGGACAAGTTTGCCCCTTTGACAAAAAGAGAACTTCTCCGGCTGCAAGCCCACAGGTGTTAATGCAGTTAGCCTGGCGTCGCCTGCAAACATGAAATAATAAATTGTTCTGAAGTTTTCCGTTAACGTATTTACGTCCGTAACTCCCTGGTGTGGTGCAGACCAAATTCCCTAAAAAAGCAACAGTTTTTTTTGTAAGCTGAAAGGCTACTTTAGCCGAGGACTACAATTTCTTTCAAAAACTGTTTTTTTCCTTTTTCAGCTAGAGAGTCCTAGAGCAGTGTAAGGGATGAAAATAAAACACTAAGACCCTGAAATAATGATATTCGCTGTGCGACGTCTTTGTTTATGTCCCCTGGTAGATAACCTGGAGAAGGTTCAGACTGAAGAGAAATAGAAAATGTATATAACTTCTTTTGTGGGCTCACCAGCTCAGCGGTGATGCTATGATTGAAGCTACTTTTAAACTATTGGATAGGAACAAGATCTCATATTATCACGCTCGTGTTTGGAATAAGAATTGTATTAAAATAGTGATGGATTTACTTTGAAAGCTTCGACACAACGTCGCTAAAACAGAAAGCAATCGACTCTAAATTCAAACATGAGTTAGACTGATCAAAAATCTGCAAACAACAAAAACGTTTTCGCGTGGCACTTGAGTCCTAAATGTGAATCTCCACTTTGCAAAAACATTCCACGTTTTCTTCTTTTTGCTGGGCTAGAAGCCTAGCTTGGCGATCACTACGTACGGTGATTTGAAACTGCCTACAGTGCTCAGACACCCTACAGGGCCAATTCAAAAGCGGCACATCCTCGAATCCATGGAAATGCAATATATCTTTTTAATCAGAAACATTTCCTCTTAATTTCCTTCAGAAATAAGCTTTAGTTTATCACAGCTGTTTCGGAAAGACTTAGATCGGTAAAATTTCCCACCCTAAATTTTTTCAACTGTTCGTCATGCATTTCATAAAAGATCGCATTGTACGGAAGCTGCAAGTCAAAATACAAGTTCACCTGTTACGAGAAAATTCGGCTGTGTATAAATCATATTTTGTTACCGACGCCGATAAGGAGAGCATATTCCCCTTTACAGTTTCATTCAGTTCATACGCAAAGAAGGAGAGAGTTTTTATTCGCACGTGTCTTTCCATGAGATCTTTTGTGCGATTTTGGAGGCGAGCGACCATAAATGATTCTCTTATCTTGCCGATTTGCCTCGGGATATGTGGTTAATTTGAATACAAGAAGTCTTGGCCGGCGATATTCATACATCGCTTAGGTCTACATTCGTATCAAAGTTTCAGCTTGTTAAAAGTTTTGATTTTGATTTTCGTGAAAATAACAACTATCGTGTGGTCATCGGCAGAGATCTGTGTACCGGAATGTAAATTTGATCAAAAATTTTACGCTATTTGACTTGAAAATCACGCGAGATTTTAAAAGCACGCGAAAGCATTATCTCGGTCATGACAACATTTAAAATTGAGTTAACATTGTCAAGTTTCGTGTCCGTTCTAGTCTCCAAATACCCTCTTCTCGCAGTCCAGCTAGTATTTAATTGCCGACTATTTAACAGAAAGTTTGGTTAACAATGAGCGATGGAAAAAGCTTAATTTAATGTCAAAACACCATAAAGTTCGGCGATGGTTTATATTCCGAACGAAAACAAGACCAGTTAATAACAAACTGTGTCTTAGTTTTCTACAGTTTTTTCCCAGCCTATTGGCGGTGCTAGGAGGATTATTAAGTTTTGTATTCAAACAAGAGCCGACTTGGAGAATCAATTGCTACGATAAGGCAAATAGTGGGAGGATAATGGAAGAAATAATGAATACTCTGAGATTGGAGGTAACAGTTCTACGACCTACGTCTCAGGTTTCTCAAAAGCGGAGTGTGGGGAATATTTTGACCAGATTTTTGGGAGGCAATAGGAGAAACGCGTCGTTTGTTCTTAATTGTGGTATCAACGTAAATATTCCTAGCTGACCACATGAAGAAGTCGATGATATTTCGATGAAGGGTACGGTACAAATTTAGTTTGACCTGATGACCCAAAATACAATCCACATCGATTCCCTTTACTTTAAAGCCTTTGAATTATACCAGCAATCACTTATGTGGCTTGAAGGTTTGTTGATTCTGTTATCCCCTTATTTACTCTAGAAAATCAAAACATCCCGATATCCCGGTTAAGAGTTTATTTGCATTGAGGGCATAGAAAAGACACTGATATCGCTGCCTTTGGCAAATAAATTATTTTCACAAAATTGCGATTATGCTGTACTTCCTCGAACGTTTGAATAACCTCCCGTAAAAAAATGCTTTATGAAAGGGAAAAAAATCAGAATTAGAGTCAAGATCAAAAAACTGGAAAGATAACCGTCAATAATTGTTTCTTGCCTTAAATGTGTTCTGCAAATCGCAGCTCTGAAATTAAATTTCTCTTCGCGTTTGAACAACGCTTAACTACGGCGTTTGACGCCTTTACACTGAACATGTCGTCCTACGCTGATAAAAATTCACAAAAGCGTTTCTAATGTAGTTACAGTTCTGTTGAAAAACTTTGAAAATGTGGAAACGGTGCAGTAGCAGTAAGAAAAGCCATGTTTTTTTTTCTATTTGCACTCTCTCTCTTTTCTCTGTTTGTAGATAATATAAGATTTAATACAATTTGATTCAGCTCTGCTCTCGACAGGTATTAATCCCAAATACCGTATCATG